TCTGGGCTCAGGCCAAGCCCCCTTGCCCCCTCCCCCTGACCATAGGGTCTCTGGGATGAGGCTGGGATGGTGAGCCTGAAAGGACTAAGGGAAACAGGGCCCAAATCTGCACAAAGCAGAGCATTAGCTGGGCAAACCACAGCCACGACAATCCCCTTGGGTGGCCGGTGAAGTGGTAAAATGTGCCCCCCCACAACAGTGGGGATTGCTGCTGCCTCCTTCCCCCAGGGTTAGATTCCATGCAGGGGCCTGATCTTGCAGTGGTTGTTCTTCCAGGTCTTCAGTGGCTCCTCTTTGCACGCACCACATGCATGACTGCAGCTCCTCCAGCGCAAGCCTGGAGCCAGCTGGACTCGGATGGAATTGGGGCCGCCCCACATTCAAGCCACCTTGTGCACATGAACCAACCCGTCTCCTTCTCCAGCTCTGCTCCTCAGCCCTGAAGGTCACCTGCTTGCATGGAAACCTACCAAAGCATAGCAGTTCTTGGGGATTTGGGCTGGTGGTCAGACCCCTGGCAAGACTGCCCCCCACCCAAAAATGTTGTGGGCAGAGTGCTTACCTGTTTTGCAATCACACGGTATTTTTTGAAGTCCCTGGGCCCCAGCTTGTCATCCCGGGTCAGACGTGAGACCTGGACGCCTGGGTACTTCTCCTTCACCATCTCCGTGCAGAAGCGCTGCAACACCCCGGCCACGCCCTTCCCGCGCTCCCAGGGGGCCACCCGCAGCCCCTCCACCAGGGCCGTCTTGCCAGCATCTATGATGTAGACAGACTGGAGCCCAATCTGAGCATCCGATTGGGTGGGGGAAGGGGGAGGGGAGACAGCAAAGAGAGTTAACATTTAGGGTGCTGGATGGGGCTACGCACCATCTTGAATAAATCTGCAATTGGAAAAAAAAATGGTGGTGTTAATTAAATAAAGCAGGGGTGAGGCAGGGGGAGTGGGTGGGAAGGGAGGCAAGAGGGGAGGCAGGAGCAGAAAACGCAGTTCAAATGACCAAAGTCTTGGCACACGATTAAGCAATGACAAAGAGAGAAGACAGGCATCAGCGAGACAGTAGCAAGATCACAGAGTAAGCGTCATACTAGTACCATTGGACGGGGCCCTTTATGCTACGGGGTCTCAAGAGCAGAGACACACAAAGAGGGAGGCATTTATTTGGGCAACAGGAGTCCTGAGGCCGAACTGTAAGGATTTAGGATCCGCGCTGCAGCAGCCCCGTCACGGTCCTCCGAGGGAGCCAGCCCGCCACCTTCCTGGACGGGGGCCTGATCCCCCACACACCTACGTGAATAAAATCCAGCGAAAATCATTGGGTTTTTATCCATTGCTTTCTTTCAAAAAAGAAACGAGAGAGAGAGAGAGAAGAGGGAGAAGAGAGAGAAGAAGGAGAAGAAGAAGGAGAAGGAGTGGCCAGAGTGAACCTGAGAACAAGAGTCCCACGAGATGCCTGAGAGAGGAGGGCAATCCTGCACCAGAACTGGAGGTGGGCACAGGCTGAGCACCCTGAGCCCTGGCACCTCCTCCCTGACAGAGAATGAGGCTGCGGGGGGCGCCAACCCATTCCCACCCACATTTTGTGTCCCCCCCAGGAGACAATTGTGGGAGAGTGGTGGCACCCGGGGGGCGGGGGTCCCATCAAAGCTCTCTCCCCTGCCAAAGTTCTTGATGAGGGGTGGAAGAGAGAAGGTCCCAATTCGTTGTGGGCACATGCACGGGGAGAGAGGAGGTGGGTGAAAACCTGCCGCACAGCTTCTGCCTGATCCAAACAGCAGGCAGGAGCCTCTCTGAGTAAAATCCAGGCCACAATTGCCCTCCTTCTCATGTGTAGCCTGTCTGGGGGAAACTCCACCACGTGTTCCAGACCAGCTTCTGGGTTTGGAGAGTGTCCCACTTATTCTGACCGGTAAAGTCTGGCCTTGGGGTGGAAACGCTCTCTTCCTATGCAGCCCTCTTCCTCAACTCCGCCCGCTGCTTGGCCAAGGAGGGGCGACCCAGTGCTCAGGCCCCGAACCCACACCCAGTCCCAGTGTCAGCCTTGCACAGGAGTTTGTGACAGCCTCACCCATCTCCATCCCTCTATCCCATCCCATCACAACTTACCCCTAGATCACAGCAAAGAGAAGAACAGAGTGTAAAGAAAGGACTCCAGGGGGCACCCAGAAACACCCCCTCTTCTCTGCCACCATCCTCCCTCCTCAGGCTCACCCAAGGCGGGGGGGGGTGAGAGGTTTTCTCATAAAGCTGAAGATATACCACTATGGAGCAACTGACGGGAGGGAGATGTCCTCCACCCACCTGTCCATCTGCTTGTCTTTGCTTTGGCCAAGACAAACAGCATCATGCAATGTGCATTTCAGTCCCTTTAGGAAGAAGGGGGCTTGCCTTCCAACCGCTGTGTTCAGCTCATGGTCACTGCACTGGCAAGCAGAGAGGGGACCTCTTTCCCACCCGAGTGATTGGAAATGCCTAGGATCCAACCTGGGACCTCCAGCTTGTAAAGTGTAGGGCCTCTGCCTGCCACGACAGCCACACACTGCTTGAATTCATAGCCCCACATTTGGGTCTCCCGAATCTTCCATATTGTATCAACTCAAGCTGGTCTTTGGGAAGGAGTGGCAGCCAAGGGGGGCAATCCTGCATCCTGACATGCATCGGGAGGTTGTGGTTCCACAAGAAACCATCAACTGTTTAGTAGCTTTTCTCTTTACCTCTGAAGAGACTTTGAAAGAAGCCCCCCCCTCTCCTGGCCCTGCCATGGTGCACAAAGGGTGCCCCTTTCTGGCAACTACTTCTACACCTGTGTCCCACCGCTGATGGCCTTCGCAGCTTTTCTTAGAAGGAAGCAATTGGTAACCACATGAAACCATTTGCATAGCAGTAACTGCTGGGGTGAAATCTGTGCACAGCACCTGAGCCATGAACCATGTGTTCAAAAGTTTTTCTTGCTTTCAAAAGCTCTCCAGCAAAAGCCTGTGGCTGGTCTGAGGTCCCTCTCAAGCTCTGCCTTCCTTGTTTGGCAGCTTCAGGACAAGAAGCAAGAGAAAGGTATCCTGATCTCTTCCCCCCCCCCCCATACAGACTTCCCTTGGGCCTCTCTCCATGGAGGAATCCCTCCTGTTGGGCTCCTGCCTGGGAGTGCAGAGAACACCCCCACCATTCAGGCCAGTTCTTCCCCTCTTGACTCAGATGGAAGAGCTGATGGGCTGAGTGGGCCTCCCCCCCTGCCCAAAGTTAGGGGGGGGGATGTGGCTTTCTGGCCTTCATCCCTGAGCAAGCTCCATAGTGGTATCTGTCAGAGTCAAACCCCCCTCCCCCACGTTGTTCACCTGGGGGATGAAGGGTTTATCCTCAAAGCCCCTTCTGAGGGTCCTGCTCCTGTCTAGACCAGAGGCCCTGAGGAAAGGCTCAGGGGGAGCCCCCCCTGCCCAAAGTTAGGGGGGGGGATGTGGCTTTCTGGCCTTCATCCCTGAGCAAGCTCCATAGTGGTATCTGTCAGAGTCAAACCCCCCTCCCCCACGTTGTTCACCTGGGGGATGAAGGGTTTATCCTCAAAGCCCCTTCTGAGGGTCCTGCTCCTGTCTAGACCAGAGGCCCTGAGGAAAGGCTCAGGGGGAGAGTGGAGCANCTCGGTGGCGACCGTGAATTCCAGCGGCCAGTCGGCTGATGCAGGTTGTTCCAGCTTCATGGCTACACAGGACACAGAGTGGCTGCAGGGAGACAAACTGCCATGAAAACACCAGGGGTGGGGTGCCATGGGGGTGAGTCCCCCTTGAGTCCCCCAGGCCTTCAGAAACCAAGGGGTGGGGTGGGGAAGCCAGCACCTGCCAGTTGCTATGCAGCTGCCACAGCCTGTGTGGGTGCGAGATGGAGGGTGAGGCTCTTGCCTCAGCAAAGGACCGGATGCTGCTGCCCACCTCCGGGGTGGGGGGAGCGGAGGGCAAAAAGAGGCCTGCTGTGGTTGGCTGGCACTTCTAATGGCATAGGAACTGCCTGGACTGGTGTGCTGTCCAGAGGACCTTCCTGCACTCTCTTCTCTGCAGTGGGGCCCTAAATCTGCCCAGACCTCTGACCCACACACACCCTCTCTGAAGAATGGGGCTGGGCGTGGGACAGGCGAGTCCTCTTTTGTGGCTGCAGCTGTACTGTACTTGGAGGCTAATCTCCTCTCCTCGGCTGGGTGCTCTTCCCCTTCCTTTCTTCCTTCTCTTCCCCCAACCCACCTATGTGCTCCTGGTCTCCTGAGGATTTGCAAAAAAAAAAAAAAAAAAAAAAAAAAAAAAGTGTAAAGAAACCCGGGGGGAGGGGTGGGCAGGGATGTGAAATTTACTTGCACACATTGTCTGTTGTTGATTTCATGTTATCGCTGTTGCTTTTGCATATTTCAAGCATTTTGAAATATTTGTGTGCTTTATATATGAATTATTTAGCTCCTGCAGTTTGTGAGTGCCCTACAGAAGCCCTCTGGGCTGTAGTCGTTGTTTTGCCCCATAGGGTTATAGAGCACCCCCGCATGGTTTATGACACAGTTGTTCAGGCTACTCCTTGCCTCCCCCTTCCCTGCCTCGGGGGGGAGGCTGGGTACTCAGGTTACCAACTTCAGAAGGATGGAAGGCTGAGTCAGCCTCAAGCCAGCTATCTGATACCACAAGGATTGAACTCAGGTTCTGAGCAGAGGCAGTTCACAAAATGGACATGAACAACCATTACATGCTAGTTGCTCAATACACGTTTCCCTTTTTTGTTAACAACTTTGGATGGACAGGAAAGTAGAATGTATTCTTTATGAATTAAATTTGTACCCCATCTTTCTAGTATGCAGTGGTCCTCAAGGCAGCTAACAGTCACATTCAAATAAATACAGCAAGAAGGCATTGTCCAAAAACACAACAGGAAACAAATGCACCCAGCTTATCAGGACCACTTTCAACAACAGCTCAGCTTCAATACAGAGACAGCTTGACCCAAAACATTAGGGCTCTCCACCAGAACAGTTACAAGAAAGGGGTCAGGACTGTCCTCCCCTGGAATATCGTTGCACAACCGAGGAGCAGCTGCTGAGAAGACTCTGCCCTGCATCCCTGAGAAGGGGGTGGGACTGACAGAACAGCTGCCTTTGAAGAGCTCAAAGCCAGGGCGGACTTGTCTGGGACACCAGATGGCCCTTTGGGTAGCCCAGACCCTGTGCCTGCAGGGCTGCATAGACTCTAACTAGCCCTTTGCCTTATGTCTAGAAACAGAGCGGTTGTCAATGAAGCGGTCATGGACCAAGAGTTTGTGTGGGCTTCCTGTAACTCGTCCTGGTCAACAATCTAGCTGCAGCATTTGAGGCCGTTCAAGCGTCTGCCGACTCTTCTAAGGCAGCCTCAGCTAGAATGAGACACCCAGGAAAGCCACCCAGGAAAGCATCACAGTTGACAGATCAGGAAGCGGGGCAGCCAATGTGCTACCCTTGACTAGAGTAGAGCTTTTGTGTCGAACTCGTTGGGAGTCTGACGTCAAGGCGAACGAGCAGCCAGTGTCAGCCACGTACTGGAAGCCCTGAACCCCAAGACTCCACGCAGGCCCTTTCAGCAGCTTCAAGCAGAAGACAGAACCACAAGGAACAGCTTCAAGAAACAAATGTTTTGCAAAACGTAAGCACGCTCATAAATGAAAATGGTCTTTGGGGAAGACCTTTGTATTTTGTTGCCTGTAAAGGCAGAGCTGGGTGTCTAAACAAACTCCTCTCTGCTGTTTTGTCAGAACTGTGTGTGTGTGTGTGTGGGGGGGAACATGTTTCTCAAGGCATCAAGGGGCCAAAGAGAAACAGGAACCAAACAGAAGTGTCACACACAGGGAGAGTCTTGTCTACAGCACCCCTGTTGTGAAAACTGAAATTTCTGTACAATGTAAATTCCATGGGATCGACCCATTTTCCAACCCAGAACAGAAGACTTACACAGCAAGGAGATGACTGGATGCCCAGGGAGAAAGCCACACCCTGCCCCCCGCCAGACCCCTTTTCTCCTTTCTTCACAAATGCAATCAACTGTTCTTCTCTCGGACCTTCACATGTGGGGTGAAAAGGACAACAAACCACCCTGCCACGAGTGGGGGTGTCCTGACCCTCGCCTTACATTAGGATTAGAGAAGAACTGGTCAGGGTAATTAAGGGAGCAGATCAGGCTGAAGCTGAACATGGACTTCTTTGGTCTCCCAAAGGGCCTCCCTGAAAGTCCACCTCAGGGTGAAGGATAGAAGGAGCCTGGTGCCCCCCCCATGCGGGGGCTTGAGAGGCCAGCAAAGGTGTTGCTTGCCTCACCACACCTGCCCCCTGCACAACCTGGTTAAGGAGGGGCTGGCAATTGCTGCAGGAGTGGAGGGCTGTGCATTCTCTGGAGAGGTGCAGGAGGCGAAGGTTGTGATACAGAAAGTGTGCATCCACTGAATCGTTGTCTTGATCATGTCCATCAAAAGTGGTGGGGTGAGAAAAGGAAAGCACAGAGACACTAGCAGTCTGCCCCCCCATCCCCACACTCACTCAGCAATACAGAGATGTACCAAGAGCAGCCCCCCATCTCACCACCCCATTCATTCCAGGCAAACTCTGGGGAGCTAACAAACTACCTGCACCCCCAAATGCAGGAACATACCCCAAAGTTCCATATTCCGTGAGGCTCCCAGTGGCTGGGGATTAAAGGGGTGTCCATACCTACAGGCCTCTAGAGCGCCTTTTGAGGCTGCAGGAAGGGAGACACAGCCCTTGCACCCCAAAATGTTCTTTGCCAAGAATTAGGTTACATAAAAGGGGAGCAGTAGCCCCTGGCAGGTCCCAGGTCCACGATCTCTGATCTTTCCACAGGGTGCTCTGAGCCTTCCCACCATCCAAACCACGCGCATCTCCTCGTTATTCTGCACATGCACCAAAAGCTCTTCCCAAACCCACATTCCTTGAGGAAGGGTCCAAACCCAGCAGTCCCCACACCAGCTATAGGCATTAAAGAGAAATCCATCATCAGAGAGAGGGAAAAAGAAAACCACGGCTTTACAGGTCGAGCGTTCCAGGGCCGTTCAGCTCTCAGGGATGCTGTCGCTCATGGGGCGGAGGTCACGGCGGGTGTGCCTGTGGGGCTCAGGCTCCCTCTGGCCTCACCCAGGGATCCAGCCACAGATACTTTGGAGACAAAATTAGGACAATTAAGGGAGACTAAATATAGTCCGCTGAGGGGGGGGAGG